AAACAAGATTAATCATTTAAAAAAAATCAAAAAACAAATGAGCGATTAAATTTGAAAAAAAATGGAAGAGATTAGTATTACCTAGAAGTGAAAGAATGAAAAAGGAATCAGAGGACGCGAGGTCTGATTTACCATATTGTCTCCATTTGTTGTTTTAGTGCGAGGTCTGTGAGTTTTTTCCTAAGCTTTCATATCATTTACACACACACACACACACAGAGTAAAGTGGAGAAGAGGGCTTAAACAATTAGGTTAATAAGAATTTGGGGGCATTTTCAAGCTTGGGGCGGAGTTACACATGAGTAATATATATATATATTATTTAGTTATAAGCAAACAACTAAAAAATTTGGGCCCTAATTAGACAAAAAAGACTTTAACATATTAACAAATAAATTCTCAATTATTTTAACATTACTAAATTTAAAATAAAGTAATCATACTTAAAAAATACATTATTATTATTATTATTATTATTTTTAGTATTTATCAAATAAATAATTAAAATTTCAAAGTAAAAAATTTAGGAGGTGGCAGTTCTTAATTTTTTTGCAAAAACTTTGGGGTGGCGAACCTATATAATTTAAAAATATTTGTAATTTTAATACTCTATCTAGGAGGGTTTTAAAAACCCTTTTTTTTTGGGGGGGGCGGTTGCCTCTGCCAGCCCCCCCCTCAGTCCATCCTTGCACGTACCCGTAAGTCCATCTATGAGATCTCATTACAACATGAAAATTTAGAAAACTTTCAAAATATCGGTTTGTGATTATAATTTAATTTTAAATAATAAACAGTAATTCTAATCAAACAATCAATAACAAATCAACACAATGATTTAACGTAAAAAAATCACAATAAACTCCTCCAATTATGATAAAAAAAATCACGAGTTAAAACCACAAAAAAATACACTAAGAAGAGAAAAAAAAAAGTACACACGAGAACTCTCAATTACCTAACGAATCCACACCCGAATTAAATCAAACCTGATGTGCCTTTTCCATCACCGTCTTCACCTCGAAATTTCTTTGCCCAACGTTGAATCCACAACGCCGATGTCAAATCCACGACGATGAGCTACTCCGAAATCCACAAAAACTTTAGACCCATGTTCCCCGGAATCCACCGATGAACACCTCTCTCTTTTTGTAAATGAAAGAACAACCAACCCTTAATGTTTGTCAATATGTAGTTCATTGATCAATCAATCACCTTCTATAAATCAAGGAAACTCATATATAAACGCCCTCCAATGTAGAACACTTTGTATTTTACTATTCTCTAAGAATCTGGACGGGGTTCAACCCTAAAAATAGCAAACAACACACTTTATACTAAACAATGTCGCAAGACTGCCCAAACGCTCACTTTACTGCTCGAGCGATGTGATTAAAGGCGGTGCTCACATGTAGGCCAACCGCTCGAGTGCAACATCCATCACTCAAGCGGTAAAACTTACTTTCTCGAAGTTCAGAACACATGCAAAGATACTGGATGAACTACTTCACAGCTCGAGCTCACAAAAAACTGCTTGAGTGGTTAATCAACTTTGACTTCTTTCTTGGCTTTGGGGGTGTTGCGCCTCAACCCCACCTGGGTGTTGCCCAGACCCGCCAAGGGTGTTGCCCCCAGGACCCTTGCGAGCTGACCGGTCAACTCAATCCTCGTACTTAGTTAGTGAAGAGGCAAACAAGGAGAGCTCAAAACAAGATACGAAATGTCAGCACAAACTCCTCTACTTAGACACAACTAAGGTTGGATTCGCATCTACACTCTCATAACTCAGAGATACAATAGAGTGAATAAAAATATAATTGAATGGAGTTTTGTTCAACATGATTGCCAATTACAAAAACTTAACATAACAAACAAGAGTTTTAGGTATTAATTTTTTGTCCCTAAAAAATTTGTTACAAAAAATATGTGGAGACCAATTGCGATCTTCGCGAGGATAGTTGCTAAAGGTCATTATGAGAAGTCAAAAAAAAAAAAAAAGACTTTTAGCAATTTTAAAATGTTTCTAATAAATCCATTTTTAGTAGGGATGATCATGGATCCATCCAACCCGTCTCACCCACTCAAACCCGACCCAACTCGATTGATTTTAGGTAGATGTGTGTCTTTTGCCAGACGAATGCGGATGAAATATTTCAAAATCTGCGGATACGATTTAGATGAAAGATTAACCATCCCACACCCGCATGAACTCGATCCGCTTGTAGATGAAATTCAAAAAAAGAAAAAGAAAAAGGAAATGCTAACAAGTAACAACATAGAGCGTAAATAATAAAATATATATTTTTGTGAAAATAGAAAATAATACCTTAAAAATATACATAGTTATTGGAGATTGTAAAAGTAACAAATTATAATTTGAAAAAATGTCCAAAATTTGTAAAGTCTAAACTACCAAACCGATCACATCCATCCGCCAACTTACATAACTTGCTCAATCAGCATCCACCAAACCGGTAAATAGATGTAGATTGATTTTTTTCAATCCACCTAATTTTAGACGGATGACAATTGGAATGCCACCCCGACTCAACCCAATCAGTGATCACTTTTAATTTATAGAGACAATAATTTGGTCCCTAAAAAGTTCATTTTTTAGACAAAAAATTTAGTCCTAAAATGATAGTAATTCTTTGCTAAATATCCAATTTTTTTCCTAAAAATAAAATAATACACTTTTGGCAACCAAAATATTTAGTCCCTAAAAATTATTTTATCCCTAAATTTTTCTCTCTAAAATCTTAATTTGTCGTTGTTTCTCCATTATTTTTCTTGGGTTTTGAATATGTTTTTTTTAGATAATTTTTCTAGATGTATAATATTACTAAGGTGCCGTTTGATAACACTTACGTTTTATGTTTTCTGTTCATATTTGCAAAAATTTAAAAAATTTAAATAAAAACTTGTTTGGTAAAATTTTTGATTTATAAATCAGTGGTCTCAGTTTATAAATTTGGTCAAAATATGAAAACACAAAAAATGTATTTCCATTTTGAGTTTTCAGTGTTTTTTTTTTTTACCACCCAACACTAGCCACCACCCGCCACTATTTTCCACCACTGTCTTCCGCCACCACCACCTACCACCCGCCACCAGCCACCACCAGCCACCACCCGCCACCACCACCCACCAGCCACCCACTCGCCACCACCACTCACCTCTCGCCACCACCACCGGCACCACCACCACCACCCACCTGTTATCCACCCGCCACTACCAGCCACCGCCCGCCACCACCACCCGCCACCTACTCGCCACCACCACTCACTACCTACCTGCCACCACCATCCACCACCAGCCACCAGTCACCTGCTACCCACCTGCTACCACCACCCACCAATCACCACCACCACCCACTCGCTACCACCTACCACCCACCACCGTCACCCACCCACCCGCCACCACCCGCTACCCACCAAAACACCCACTTCAGGAAATTCACTAAAAATCTTTAATGCTATCTCAACCCCAACATCATTCTTCGGGAGACTCGAAAGAAACAAATTACATGAATCAACAGACATAATTACACCATAATTCAACATCTTATCAAAGAGTTTTCTAGCTTCATCAAGCAGTCCAAATTCAACAAGTACTTGGAACAAAATATCAAATACAAAAGGATTAGATCCCCAATCTTTATAAACATATATCAATCTTTCAACAAAATGCCACTCACCACCACCACCCGCCACCACCACCACCACCACTACCACCCACTCGCTACCACCCACCACCATCACCCACCCACCCACCACCACTACCATCTACCACCACCAGCTACCCACCACCCACCGTCACCACTTTCCACCACCGTCTTCCGCCGCTACCGTCACCCATCCACTCACCACCACCTACCCGCCACCACCACCCACCTGCCACCACCATCCACCACCCGTCACCACCACCACCACCAACTCGCTACCACCCGCCACCATCACCCACCACCACCCACCACCCACTGTCACCACTTTCCACCACCGTCTTCCGCCACCATTTGCCACTACTTGCCATTTCTCACTCTTTTTTATATTTTTAAATTTTTTAAAACATTTTATCAATTACCAAACGCGTTTTTAGTTTATGTTTTTATAAAAATAAACAAAAAATAAATAAAAATTAATTTATAAAATTTTTGTAAATATAAACTGAAAACGTAAACATTACCAAAGATACCCTAATAAATTAGTGATTTTTTTTCTTTCTTTTCCTCGTAACAAAATTTGTCTATATTACCCAACAACACCGCCATTAGCAAATTCTTCCACGACAAACAACACACACTTGGCAGAGTAGTTGGGATTTGGTTTCAGAGTATCAAATATTAGCCATTAAATTAATTAATTAAGATGGCAATTTTCCAAGGAATTATGTTGCTTATAGTCATATTATTAGTAGCAATGGCTGCAGCAGCTACAGTGGTTGGACTCGGAGGAGGAGCAGAAGAACAACATGCTGAGTGCCTACCAACAAGTTGCAGTAAACATCACAGCCCTGAAATCCGATTCCCTTTCCGGCTCAAAAGGCATCACCCCAAAAACTGTGGGTATCCTGGCTTTGATCTTTCTTGCATTCCTCATTCCAAATACCCAGTCCTCCAGCTTCCATTTTCTGTCAATTTTTCTGTTAAAAATATTGACTACAAATCTCAGACCATAGATATATCTGACCCCAATGGCTGCCTCCCGCGGCAGCTTCAAAACCTCAACTTATCTGCCCCCCTTTCCAATTCCTAACAAAGTACAACTACAACTACGACTTTAGCTTCATCAATTGTTCCCAGACACAGGAACTAATCTTCTTTAGTGTGTTTCGGATTGCTTGCCTTAATGACCAGAGTCACCAAGTTTTTGCCATTCAATCTACGTCGGGGGCGGCTTTATCTTGCACAAAGATGTATAACATCATACTTCCAGTTGAAATATATGATCACAACATAATTGATGTTTTTCGATTGAATTGGAGTAAACCGGTATGTAGGAACTGTGAAGCACAAGGCAAGTACTGTAGATTGAAGAATAACAACAACAACAAGAACAACAGCAGGGGCAGCGACAGTCAATTATTATTAAATGGATCAACTGAATGCTTTGACAAGCCCAGACAACCATCTATGGGTACGAATCCGGATCACCCGTCGCCTTCCCCTGTCGCCCCCAAAACGACGTCGTTTTGGGGGCAAATTTTCAAAAAAAAAAAAAACGCAGAGAAGAGGAAGGAAGGAGAGGAAGAGGGAGAGGGAGGAAGGAGGGAGGAGGGAGGAGGAGGAGGAGGAGGAGTAGGAGGCTGTGAGCTCGCCGTCCTCGTTCCTCGCCGTCGTTGCAGGTCGCAGCAGCTCCACCTCGTCGCAGCACCTGCGACCGCCGTCGCCTCCGCCTCCGACCCGTCTCCACCTCCTCCTCCCCTGTATTTATGGCCCCCTCCAGTCCGGCCCTTCCCCTCCTCCTCCTCCTCCTCCTCCTCCCCTCCCTCTTCCTCTCCTTCTCACGGAATGGATCGTCGGTCGCCCTTCCCCGTCGTTTTGAAAATTCGCCCCCAAAACGACGTCGTTTTGGGGGCGACAGGAAAGGGCGACGGGGAAGGGCGACCGACGATCCATTTCCCTACGGGTACACCTCTACTCTAGCTAGTTTCTACCTTCTTACTTCAAGTTACTATTATTATATTTTTTTTACCATCTTATCTCAGCTGTAATTATTGCGTTGGCTTTACACTGATGATGTTGTTTTCCACCACAATTTTGAATTGAAATTCGGGCCGAGGTTCTCTCCAGTTTGGATCTGGAAATCCAATCCGAGTTTCGGATGTGCGCAACATTGGTAATTTTACAAATCAGTGGTTTAGATTTTGTTTACCTTTTTAAAACTCAATAGTATATCCAAATAAAAAAATTTAATCCAACACCCTCGTGCTACAAGATCATTTTAGCTTCAATGCCCTTGTTTTGTTTTGTTTTGTTTTGATCTATTGAATTACCTAGTCTTGTTGATTGTGGGAGGATCATAAAGTCTTGCCATATAGATTAGGTTGTGTGGTTTTTTATTAGAAGTTGTGCACCCAATGGAGCATGCGTTGAGGTCCAAACTTGATTTAAGCCTATGTTAATTGCTGATATAGTTGGACTAGTATATGAGAAGGTTTAACCCTATTTGGATATTTGATTGTATCATGTCAGTTTCTTTTACTTAGTTTATTATGAATCTACGGTAATTTTTTTTAATTATGTATATATGGAATTTAAGAAATCTTTAAACTTTTACAGGTGCATTGACGAAACTAAAGATTGCAGGTGAAGTGGTCTATCCTCTCATAATTTCAATTGTCAACAAGGAGGTAGAAATTTACTAACATGGTCTATTATGATTGCAGGGGTAGTCCTAGGTCCGACTTTTCTTCTTGTAGTTGTCATTGCAATATATCATGGCTATAGATCAAACAAAATGAAGAAAGCAGATCAAGTAAAGATTGATAAATTTTTGGAGGATTACAAAGCTCTCAAGCCTGCAAGATATTCCTATGCAGATATCAAGAAAATAACAAATCAATTTCAGGACCAAGTAGGCCAAGGAGGTTATGGAATAGTGTACAAGGGCAAGCTTTCCAATGATGTTCATGTCGCGGTCAAGATCCTCAACAATGTGAAAGGAAATGGAGATGAGTTCATCAATGAAGTGCAAACAATGGGTAGAATCCACCATATCAACATGGTTCGCTTGGTGGGATATTGTGCTGACGGATTCAGAAGAGCTCTTCTTTATGAGTTCTTACCAAACAATTCGCTTGAAAAGTTTATATCCACTGATAAAGAGAAAAATACACTTGGTTGGGAGAAGTTGCATGACATTGCTCTTGGCATAGCTAAAGGAATTGAGTATCTTCACCTAGGGTGTGATCAACGAATCATGCACTTCGATATTAAGCCTCACAATGTCTTGTTAGATAATAAGTTTACCCCGAAGATCTCTGATTTTGGTCTAGCAAAATTGTGTTCAAAGGAACAAAGTGTTGTTTCCATGACTACTGCTAGAGGGACTGTGGGTTACATTGCACCCGAAGTGTTGTCCAGGAACTTTGGGAACGTTTCATACAAATCAGATGTTTATAGTTTTGGGATGTTGTTGCTAGATACGGTTGGAGGGAGGCAAAATAAGGTAACACAAAACACGAGTGAGTGTTATTTTCTGGAATGGATATACAAACTGAAAATCCTACGTGATTTGTGATTAGATCAAGATTAACTTATTCCAAATCCCAATTAATTCAAAACACTCAACCTAAAATCATCAAACACTTACGAGAGTGATTTTAGTTTGTTTGTTTTTGAGAATAAACAATAAATCGACACAAACGATTTTTTACGTGGAAAAAACCACAATTGAAGAACCTTCAATTGTAATCAAAAACCACGGGCGAACCGCCACTACCAATCCACTACTGAAGAACGAAAAAAAATTACAAAGATACCATACAAATTACCCAACCCAGTCAATTTGTCTCTGAATCTTCTGTAACTCTTTCACCACACCTTCGTCACGGAATTGATCCTGAAGTTGATTCCACACCACAACTTCACTTGTCGAATTAACGACTGCGTAGAATCAAACGCCTTTTGGATTCTACGCTTTAATCTTCGGAATCCACCGAAGAGAACTTACTTGAAACTTAAGAAGCAACCTCCTTGATGTATGAATCTCAATGCATAAGTTCAGAACTCTCTCAAGAACATCAAGGAAAACTATGAAAAATCTCCAAAGAAAACTTTAAACACAACCCTAGTGCTTGTAGATCAGATCTAGGAAAAAGAAGTGTTCTCCAGGAACTTCGGGAATGTGTCATACAAATCAGATGTTTATAGTTTTGGGATGTTGTTGCTAGATATGGTTGGAGGGAGGCAAAATACGGTAGCACAAAACACGAGTGAGTGTTATTTTCCGGAATGGATATACAAACGTTTGGATCAAGGAGAAGATCTAGGAATACAAATTGAGGAAGACGGGGATGCGAAAATTATAAGGAAACTAACAATTGTGGGACTTTGGTGCATACAATGGTACCCAGTGGACCGACCATCGATGAAAGTTGTGCTACAAATGTTGGAAGGAAATGTAGACACTCTAACAGTCCCCCATAGTCCATTTGCCTCCACAAATCCAATGCCAACGAGGGGAACAACAGGTGGGAGTACTTTTAATAGTGAGTTAGAAGTAATTTCTGAATCTGAATGAGAGAATGAATTAGTAATATTTTTCTGAGAAGTTGTTGACTATGTAATAGGAATTAATCTTATTGTTCTCACCAATGAGTGTATAATTAATTGTTTATCAATGTATTACTATAGCCTTTCAATACTACATCTTGTGCATTGCCTTTGTATTAATAGTCTTCTTACAAATGGTGCACTTTGTATCAGAAAGATTAATGTTTACGTATCAACGTAGTATCAGAATGCATATCACCAATGGCCAATCTGCAGTAAATCTAGAGAATGATTCAATCGCGAGCTCATCGAGGAAGGGGATGATGGTGGGTTTGAAGTCTCCAATTTCAACTCTCATCAACAATCAAAATCAAAGAAAAAAAAGTCCTATATTTCAACAGAATACTAAATATTTGATCAAATAAAAAATTCTTAGAAATCAGAGCAGTGACCGGTCTCTTTGTTCAGATCAAATTCATCATCTTAATCATCATCATCGTCTTCATCTTCCTTTTGAATCTTCTTTTTGATTTCTGATTGCTTTTCTTGATCTTCTTGTTGATTTAATTGGAAATATATATTAAACATAAACACTTGCATATATCCTATTAATTAGACTTATTTACTCATTAATTTTTAATTTTTTTATTATTTTATTTATGTATTATCTCTTGTTTTAATAATAAGAAAATTTTGATTTTTTTTTAATATATATTCCGTGTTTGTAAAATGATTATTTAATACTAATAAATTATAAATACTTATGAGATATTGACTTTCATTTGTGAGTTTTGATTTATTTTTATTTTATTTGTCTTAGTTTCTGTTGACATATGACTTGAAAAGTACTTAGTTGAATTATATTTTGGATAATTTACACTTAAGACCCTTACACTTTTACCAAATCCTTGCTTTAGGCTGTCAATAATAGTCAATCTTACTTTCACCCAAATCTCATTTTAGCCAATCGTAACAGTCAACTCGTATACTTTAAATCAAGTTTCATCTATCTACTGTTAATAGAGCTAACGAAAATTAAAAGTAGAGGACTAAAATGAGATTTTGGTAAAAGTGTAATGATTAAAATGAGATTTTAGTAAAAATGTAAGGGCAGTAATAAAAATGTCAGATATGTTTCAAATGACAAATTTGGTCAACTTTGTGCTATAACTTTCAAAAAAAATTTGTGCTATATATTTTTGGCTAAAATGATAAATTACAATTATAGTCCTTAACGTTTGATACATTTTTATTTAAATTCTTAAAGTTTCAATTTTGTCAATTATTCTAAAGTATTAAATTCAAATCAATTTAGTCCATAAGATAATATTAAAATAGAACATAAGCTTAAATGATAGATAAAATTATGACCCAGATTTTAATTTATTATTAACTTAATTATCCTCTACACGTATGGTTTTATAATTGGTATATTTCTTTCAAGCTGATTAATTCTAATTACTCCTTCTCTTATAGGATAAATTACCAATAGGTCCTAATAGTTGGACTTAATTCTTATCAAATCCTATTGAAAATAAGTCTTGGTAAAATTGTCGCTAAAAATAATTTTTTTGTGACAATTTTTTACATATGTCGCTAAAAATTGACAATTAGTGATTTCTTTTTTGTCATGATTTTTATAATTGTTGCTAAAACTTACAATTTTTGACTTTTTTTATGACATTTTTTCCATAGGACCTATTAGACAATAAATCCACTTATTAGGACCTACACGTAAATACCTCCTTACTTATATAGGTCTTCTATTTCTGTTCTAATACGCAATTATCCATTTTATCTTATTTTTCGACTATTTCTAATATTATTTTATATTTCATTTCATTATATTTGTCTTATACTGCCATTATTTATAATTCATCTAAATTATAACGGTAAACTACTAATAGGTCCTAATAGTTGTATTTAATTTTCATCAAGTCTTATTGAAAATAAGTCCTAGTAAAATCGTCACTAAAAATAATTTTGTGATAAAAATTAACAATTACTGACTTTTTTGTCATAATTTTTTTAAATTGTCGCTAAGACTTATCATTAGTAACATTTTTCTATGATAAATTTTTCAAACTATCATTGAAAGTCGAAAATTAATGACTATTTTTGCAATGATTTTTTTTAAACTGTCGCTAAAACTTATAATTAGTAATATTTTTTGTGACAATTTTTAAACCGTTACTGAAAATTAACAATTAATGACGTTTTTAAATAGTATTTGATGAAAAATGTCATTAATTGTTATAAGATCTATTATACAAATAAGTCTACTTATTATGACCTAAACGTAAGTCGCTCAAATTATAATTACTTAGATCAATTTTTTATTTTTCTGGTGGTATTAATTCAAAACATTCCCTTGGAGAGTTCTTTGCAAGAATAAGGATAAGGATAATTATCTATATTATTTTCTACAAGAGCTAACTAATTACTTTTATCTAATAATAGATGTCAAACTTAATATATAATTTATAATTGAATTTCTTTAAGATTTTCATTAAATTCTTTTAATTACCCGATGATAGGAGTATTTTGTTCAATAATTATTTGTAGTGCAATACTATTATTTAAATTATTTTATTCAACTTCTTTAATGTATCTAATGCTCATATATTAATATGACAAAATTAAGAAATTAATCTCTGATATCAATTCTAAAATACAAGGGCAAAGGATAATTAAGTTAATAATAATTAAAGGGATATTTTATCAATAAATCCCATCTCACAAACACGTACTTCAATTAGTCCCAAGTTTTTTCTATTGATCTGTTAAGTCCTACTAGTGGAGAGTTTCTTTCTGTGTGTTCCTATTTTTGATTTTGGTAGTATTTTAGTAGACAACTATACTCTTTTATTAATGTGACAAGTATGATGTAATACTTCAATTTGGCAGGTATTAATGTGACACTTCAACGATGTGACATTTCAACGATATGGCACTCCAAAAAAATTAAAAACTCCTTAGTGTACTTTTTCTAAATGTGACAACGTGACGGGTATGATATGACACTCCAAAACTTTTACTCCAAAAAAAATAAAAACTTTTAGTGTACTTTTTTCAAATGTGACAATGTGACGGGTATGATGTAACACTCTAAAAAAATTAAAAACTCCTTAGTGTACTTTTCTCAAACGTGACAACATAGCGGGTATCATGTGACACTCTAAAAACAATTAAAAACTCCTTAGTGTATTTTTTTCAAACATGACAACGTGGCGGGTATGATGTGATACTCTAAAAAACTTAAAAAACCTTAGTGTACTTTTGCCAAACGTGGCAAGTATGATGTAACACTCTAAAAAATTTAAAAACTCTTTAATGTACTTTTTACAAATGTGACACTCTAACGTGGCGGGTATAATGTAACACTAAAAAACTCTTTAATGTACTTTTTTCAAATGTGATACTCCAATGTGGCGAGCAAATGAGTCATTACACATTCAAAAACACTAAATAGATCACAAGAAAAAATATAGGACTATATGGATTACAAGTCCAAAATATTGGACTATATGAATTGCAAGTAAAAAATATGGGACTTATTGATCAATCTCCCTAAATTAAAATGTGGCCTTATAATAATTTTATATAACCTTTGGGCATATATTTTATTTTTATATTATCTGTAAGACTAAATTAATTTGAATTTAATACTTAAACGACCTAATTGACAAAATTAAAATTTTAAGAAGTGAAACGAAAAAAAATGTTAAACGTTGAGGACTATAATTAAAATTTATGCTTTTTAATGATATGATAAAGGACATCTTTAGTCCCTAAAATATGTGTTTTTCATTTTAATCCCTTAAATTTCAATTTTGTGATTTTGATCCTTAAAGTTGTCAATTTGAGTCAATTTGATCCTAGGTTTAATGTTAGTTAACAGAAATATGAATAAAAGACAATTTTGGTCTATAAAGTATGAATTTCTTGTCATTTTAACCCCTCAAATTTTAAATTTTATCATTTTAATCTTCAAAATTATCAATTTGAATCAATTTAATCATATAGTTCAAATTATCCACTTTGCCTCTCTTCTTGCACACTACCATTGCAACTAGCTGCTGCCGGCACCATTTTCGTCAACCATTCATCCATTGACTTTCTGACAACCATGATTGCAAAAATAAAAAATCAAAATCCAATCAGAAGAAGCATAATACAAAGCCAAGAACCCAAAATCCAAGTAGAAATTACCAAATTGATGAATTGACTTGCCAAGGAGGAAGAAGATACAAACAGAACGGTTAAAATATGATGATTTCATTGGTGACATTGGCAGTCTGAATCAAATAAAGGTCATATGAATAGCAGAACAGTAGAACTCATGGCACAACAATTGAAAATGAGAAACCCTCTCAGCAAAAAAAAGTGTCAAGAAAATTATCAAGATTTGTAGATCAGTGGTGTCTGTTTGGACTACAACATAAATAAATCTGGACCATTAATCACAAAGTTTCAGAAAAAATTCTGATTTTTTTTTTCTTTCTAATATAGTAGAATTGCTCATAAAAATCCCGTCTGACAGCTTAGTCAACCGACAGTAGCACAGTGGCATGAGGTTTGTTAGGAATTTACAAACAATCCGTTTGGACCGTATCCTCTTCAACTTCAAAACTCAACAATGAACTACTAGTTCAAAGTATTCACCCCAATACTCATAACCATCGAAAATACTACTAACTAAAAAATGATAAACTTATCACCCCGAGGTTAAACACGGTTGAATTTGTTGTCTCCAACTAACACAATAATCATAAAAAAAGATTAGAGTCAACCAACCAATAAAACAGAGTTGCCACACATTAAACAGGGCACACATTTACCAATGTAACAAGTGCATGGTTACTATTAACTAAATATTTGATTAGAAAAATTACACTTATCTCTTGTGATAATTATTCAAATTACAGTTGAATTCATTATTTTGATTGTTACTGTTTCGAAGTAAACAATTTGTTACTTACATTTTATGTTTAGTTGAATGAAAATTTGAAATTATACTTAAAAGTATATATATGGACTCATTGTTCAAATTAAAAAAATATGAACCAAAATGAAATTTGAATCAAACTATATAGGTAAAATGTATAAATCACCCTAAGAAAATTTCATAATGGGCCAAATTGCAAAAAAGTAGAGCAAAAAAGATTTGGCCGGCAATTATTTCTCCTTCCCACTGGTCCTATTTCTTCTTGCTGCCTTTGGTTAAATGGATCGACTTCAATCTGCATAAACCTCCTTGGGCCAATTCAATGTCTGAGGACTGGGTACTGCTGTTTATGGCAACAATTAATTCGATACGGTTTTGGCGAAATAAGCAGTTGCAGGAGGAAGATTTCAATGAGCCCTATGCACAGTCAACTATATTAAAGGAAGAGTTCGAGAATTTGAATGTGCAGGTAGTAGTGCTAGCATCCAACACCAAAGAACTACGATTTTGATCTCGTGGGTTCCTCCTCCACATGATTGGGTTAAAATTAATGTGGATGGTGCGGTTAATAAACAGTCAAAGCAGGCTGGAGCTAGCAGTCTTATTCGATCAGCTACAGGGGACTGGATCATGGGGGTTCAAATACCAGGTAGGGCAAGCATCCCCCGTATTGGCAGAAATTTGGGCCATATGGCGTGGCCTACAGTTGGGCTGGATTGCAGGGTTTCGACAAGTAATCATTGAATCAGACTTTATGGAAGCAATTCAGGCTATCAAGACCCCGAGTAGTGTGGATCCTAACTTCAACCTATGCCTTGCAGTGGGAGAGCTACTAGGGAGGAATTGGCAATGTAACCTGCAATTTGTTTGGAGGGAAGCCAATCGGTGTGCAGACCTGCTAGCCAAAACAGCTACATGTATGGATGTTAGGGATAAAATTGTGTTGACAGCCCCCCTGTGGAGTTGGCCCTAAATAGGGACAAGCAAGGAGGGAGTTTCCCTCGTAGTATTAGCTTGTAGGTTCCGGCCCCCTTGAAATAAAAAATAAAAAATAAAAAATAAAAGTGAAAATTTCCTCTGTCGGGGGGTCTGGGTCTAAGTTTTCTCACTTAGCCAATGCTCCACCACCACAAACAACACTAGGCAGAGTACTTAAAGTTCTGTTTGGTAGAGTTCTGAAACGTTAGTTTCAGACTTTGATTTATACATGGTGTTTGTTTATGATTTTCAAAAATTAATTTCACACACACTTTTGAAAACTCTAGCAGGAAAATTTGGTCTAACTGGTTGTCCCACCAGTTGTTCGATCGGTTGACCGGAACAGTAATTTTTTATTTATCTATTTTTTATTTTTTTTGCAATTAACACATGTTAATTTTTATATATTCAATAAAAAATATTTTTTGAATTTTTTAAAATTTTTTATGAGCTTTAAATAGAATTTTGAGTTGTATGTTTGGTTATGAGTTGTAAGTTTTTTGTACCAAATATCATATGTCACATCAAAAATTTCCCACTCAATTCAAAACTCATTTACCAAACAAATTTTTCACACTCAAATCATAATTCCAAAACTCACAAACTCAAAATACAACTCTATTATTAAATCATATTTAGAAAATTCTACCAAACGCAACATAAAATTTTGTTTTAGACAGTTCCATAGCAAGATGGCCATTTTCCAAATCATCATCTTATTGTTCTTTTTGCTTATAGGATTTGGTAATATAGTATATCTAGTATACTAAGATATATTAAGATATTATTTGTACCTATCTGTTATAGTATATTCTCTGTATATACTTATCTTCCCTCCTATATAAAGGAGTGTGTACCTATTCATTAACATAGATTGAATACAAGAGTTCTCTTTTCTCTTCTCTTTCTACTCTCGTAACATGGTATTAGAGCCTAGGGTTTTTTCCTAGCCTCTTTTTCTTTTTCATCAAAATTTTTTTTTTCTGTCTGGAAAATTGCTTCTTGCTTACGTTGGTTTCTGTGTATCTAGTCCTTTCCTGTTTCAAAGATTGGACTATACCAACTTCTTCGTCTCTTTAAGACGAAGCCAATGCCACCAGATTCACCATCATCCGACGATCCACGCACCGCTCGAAGCTTGGAAACATGCTGTACCATTTTCTTACACGCCTCACGCGCTTTCTACACTTGTCTCGCACTATCGTGCGCCGCGACCTCATCTAGTAACGTGAGCCACGTGTTTCTGACGTCAGTTGACGTCAGCCCTGGTTTCGTGCATCGCTGCTACTCCTTTTGCTAACGTGCGCCGTGCACCTCTTTGCTAACGTGCGTCGCGCACGCTGATGTCATCTCCTTGTTGTGACATCAGCCCTATGTGGACCCATTTTTTTCCATGCCTCGCCTTTCAGAAAGGTTTGAAAAGAAGGCCTCACAGTTCAGACTCCCGCAGTTCTGAATCTAGTCTCACAAGTGCAATGTGAAACTGATAAATACCAAAGAGTCCAAATCTGGCAAACCTTTTTGAAAAATCAATTTTAAATCAAATAATGTCAAAATTGGACTGCTTTGCTAGATACAGAGTCGGTACCTAAATATTTTATTTTTGGAAAAATTTGGGAAACCTTGACTCATACTGAAGGCCACGCGTCGGTCATCACCAAAGTTGTCTCGGCTCGAGAACTTAGGTACAAAAGGGGAAGGTCCTTAAATGAGCACACCCGCTCGCCTGATCAAAGATCGGCCTCTACTAATCATGATTTGAAATTTTATAAACATTATGCGTTCTTATTTTGGTTATTAAACTATCTTTACTTTGTGATGCGCACAAGCAAGTGTAAACTAGTTTGCAAGACTTGGAACAATTCAACTCATGTTTGTTTGCGAAAATGGTTTGAATTTGCCACCTCAAGTGGGCTTAAAGATGCGGATTTGCCACCAAACATAGTGGGCTTAAAACATGATTTTGCCACAACAAAGTGGTATTAAAACACACATTTGTTGAATCGTTCCAATTCAAACAAGAAGCCATCATCCACAAGCATTCATGCAATTTAGCATTAAGGCACATAGCCTCATGGCAAGCATGCTAGACATGGCAATATGGCAATCACACTAATGCAAGTATGCTAAAGCATAAAGACTTACCGAGGACTCCAAGCCAAAACAGAAACTAGTTAGAAAAATGTGTGATCCTAAGTATGTAAGATGTCTAATGCAACACATGCAATAATGCAATTAATAGGCTCGGCTACTAATATGGCATATGAAGCAATTTGAACAACATGCGATTAAACACGTATTCAAAGAAGTATTAAAATGGCAATGCAGTTTGAATGATGCGCCGAGCCTCGGTGCATGCAATACAAATGAATGGATGCAAGCATGCGATATACTAATTGAAATATGATCCCTAATCTAACCATCGAAAGGATTCAATAAAAGGGAGAAAGACGTGGGGTTGGAAGACATACACACACGTACACACACTTATTACAATATTATGTCCTCGCGAAGGAGGGTCCAAATGAATAAAAGCTAACCAACTAGCTACCCTAATTAAGCTAAGCAATTTACAACACAAAATTTAACTAACTATTCTAAGCTAATTAAATATTACAAATCAACCTAATTAGCTAAATACTTAACTAATTAGTTACAAAACGACTAAGCTAATTAATTACAACATAAATTAACTAACTAATCTACTTAAATAATTACAACGTTTGCATGAATTAGCTACCACTATTTAACTAAGCAAAGGAACTAAAAGGCCTCAGGAAATGAGGGATGCATGCATGCTCGGTTTCTCCACCCGAAAAGGCCACTGCCTTGCCACTGAACGCCTCTTTTGCACATTCAAACACCAACAGGGCTGCTAACTCCCAGAATGCCTCTGCTCCACCTTACCAACATACTGTGCAAATTTCATTGATGGTCGATCGGCAACCAATGGTGGCCGTCGGCCACCATTGGTGATCGGTCGGCTACTTCTGGTGGCTGTCAGCCACTGCTGATGGCCAGTCGGCCATTGCTGCCCTGAACTTCTTCTTACTACAATAGAGAGCAAACAGAGGCAAAACAGTATATTCTCAAGGGTTGTTTGTACTGGTACCCTCCTTATCATCAAACAAGCTCAAAGGAACTCCTAGCCCTCAAACCATCAATCAAGCAATTTCCATGCATGATGGCTAAGGAACCAAGTTTGTACAAGTTTAATTAATGCACAAACAAGACCAAAAAGACCACCACCCTATCATGCATGACCAAGGGCAATGGTGACCAAGGAAAGTGGCACATTTCATCACTTTTGAGTATGAAATGTCCTATTTTTCTTATGTTCGAATTAACGTCTGATTCAAACACATGCAATGTAACACAAAAGATGCTTATCTTGCCTCTTTTACTTGTTCATTTTGTTTACTCATTTTACATTACCGATTTATTCTTTAATCTATTAAGTCCAAAAGTGAGTGTCCTCTAATGGAAAGATGGCTCAAACAACGAGTTGCTTTGGGCATGAAAGAGGCATTACACTATTGGTAATGAACCCCCTAAGGGATTAAACCATTAGATGCAACACCTCCATTTCACACTTAGGCAAACAAGGGGTTTAAAACCACTTTCAAAGCAAACAAAAGAGTAAAGAATTGAGGGAGGTTGCAGAGACTAAAGTGCTAGAATTAAGTGCAAAACAACACTAAAACATGCTATTAACTCAAAACAATGATAGTTAAAGCCTTAAAACATCAAGCTAGTAAAGGAATTAACACTACAACTATGCAATACAAGCCTCAACTGAACTAATCTGCCCAAAATAGAGCCAAAATAGGTTATTTTAGAGGCAAAAACATGCTGGACTTAAGCTAAATTAAGCTAGAAAAACATGCTAACATATGAAGCTAACTAGGCATGCAAACAAGACACAAGGAGGGGAGGCTAACCCCTCCAATTTTGGACTTCAAAATAAGGTTTTTACCACTGAAAAACCTCTGAAATTTAGTGGTTAAAAGGCCTAGAAAAGTTGGTTTGAAAGTGATGAAAAGATGGTACAAGAGTTTAACAAACAAAGGAGCAAGAATGGTGGACAAGAAGGGTGGACCACTCCCTAACTCAAAGAGACCTCAAATCAACACTTTTAAGTCACAAAAATAGTGTTTTTGGCAGTTCAAAATTAGCCCAAAAACAGTTTGAAAAGATGGCAAAACAAGTATTGAAAGCAAGCTTAAATAACAAGTGTTATACCTCTTGAAGCTAAGGCACAAAATAGGCAACAATCCAAGCTCAAACCTCCTTCTAGAGCTCAGAAAAGGCTCCAAGTAATCTTAGCCCAAAGGTGAGAGTATTTGGTTAAGGGTTGATATGCAAAAGCTAAGAGAAACTAAGCAAATGTGTGCAAAATAACAAGAGAGAGAGAGATATATTTTTGTTGTAAAAATGCTAACCCTCAAAAATGGGGGAGGACACCCCTTATATATAGAAAAACAAGTCTTGAGCTTGTGAACATCTTACCATACACGTGTATGAAGATGCAGCTCAGTAAGCAACAACTGGCATAGCTGTCAACAAATATCTGGAAAAAGAAACCAATGGCCGTCGGCCACCACTGGTAGCCGACAAAAACAAGCCCTAGTCGACAGCCTAGGGGGTTGGCCGACAGGTTACCCACTCCTCCAGACTAGAGGCAACAAGATCTTGGTTCAAAAACATGCACAAAACAGATAAGGTTTAGAGGCTCAAAGACAAGGCATTCCGCTGAAGACTTCGAG